AGGCACCAGGCTTCCTTCCTGGACTGTGCGCGCCTCAGTCTCTCCCTGGAGGTTAGGGCTTCCTTTACTCTTCCATGTCATAGGGGCGGGACAGATACTCATGGAGAGCTAAGTAATTTGCTCGCACATGAAAAGGTCACACAAGAGAAAATCAGAGACAGACCTGACAGGTTCTCCAGTGCCCGCTTCCTGCCTAGCCTGCGGCAGACAGCGGCCCTCCTCAGCTCGCGCTCTGCCGCTCCTGCGTGGTGCCCGTGGTGACCGGCCCTAATCACCCTTCACGTCCACCTCGCACTCTGATGGCAAGCTGACATTCCACAGATAAGTTTAGGGGAAACTTTAAAGCTAAACAGAAACCTTCAGAAGTTTTACAAATAAAATTTAGTAGTGACAAATGTCATTAACATTTATCAATTACCTTTCGAATGGACCCAGCAAAAAATGGCCCAGCAATGGCCTGTATCTATGCCGCAGTCATAGGGAACTCATTATGTAGATAGGGGATGAAAAGAAATACTGAGATAAGGGAACTGCTTTCATGCGCGCGCGCGCGCGCACACACACACACACACACACACACACACACCCTGTTATCATGTGTACTTTGCAGAACACCTGCATATCTTCAAGGCTTTCAACAGCTTTACTGGGGCATGTACTCAGCCCAGAGATTTGGTTTAGTTTTGAGAGTCCTCATAGTGAGTGAAATTGGCAGTCATCAAGTTAAGAAAAAAAAAATAAGGGAATCAAGTACTTTTATGTTCAATCTATCCCTGGTCAAAAAGAAATCAAAATGTTCCAGACTGTTCTTGGCAAACATGGATACATTGTAACATAAAATACCTGTATCAATAATAACTTATGTGCAGGTGCAATTTAATATTAATAGTGATGATTATTTGGCCCTCTCCTCTCCTTGTCTGAAGCGACCTGTTCAAAAACATGCTAGAGAGAAAGTGGGCAACTACTAATTCAGGTAAAATTTATACAATATGTGGACTTTTCCTACCTTTAAAATAAAAAAGATATTTAATTGCAACAAGTCCTGTCATGTTTTGTGGAGGCAGGAATTCATTTAGACATGAGTTGTTACACACAAAAATAAGTAATCCAAATGAGCTAACCTGTCCTGTGAGAGAGTTAAGTGCTGTCTCCCAAATTAAAATACCAGAAACTGATGGGAAATTAAAGATGGCAGTGGAGTGAATGGAAGCTCATAGACACACTCCCAGAACCAAACTGGAATAAAATACCAGAAACTGGAGAAGATCCAGGATTTGGCTGGGACATCTTAAGATATCATACGTAGGTCAGAGAACCCATGAGTTCTGATTCATCCACCCATCAATCAGCAAAGCACATATTCTCAGCGCTGTGGCCTTGACCCAACCCTCATTCCCTCCCTGTCCACAATTCATCTTTAGTCTAAAGCAGTGGTTCTCAACCTTCCTAATGCCATGACTATTCAATACAGTTCCTCATGTTGTGGTGACCCCCAACCATAAAATTATTTTCGTTGCTATTTCATAACTGTAATTTTGCTACTGTTATGAATTGTAATGTAAATATCTGATATGCAGGATGTATTTTCATTGTTACAAATTGAACATAATTAAAGCATAGTGATTAGTCACAAAAGCAATATGTAATTATGTATGTGTTTTCCGATGGTCTTAGGCGACCCTGTGAAAGGGTCGTTCGACCCCCAAAGGGGTCATGACCCACAGGTTGGCTACCCATACAGGTTGAGAACCGCTGGTCTAAATGAACCCTCTAAACGTTACACATATGTATTGTATTTGGCAGCTGAAAAAAAAGAAAGGATACTGAGATACTTAACAAAACAATAATGTGATCTTGATTAATACGCTCAGGAAATTCAAACTCTGGCAGAATAAAGTACAAGCCTCACTCTATACTACAGCAAAAAAGGTTGCTTTTTCTTCAGCAGTTCGACTCCCCCACAACACTTTATATTTTATTTAGACAAATGTCTGACTATAAACTATATTGAAATTACTTCAAAGGCTTCTCCTTCCATCTGACAATAACAAGCGTGCTACCAAATATTTGTGACAAAGCCTGCCTCCTGCTGGACAGTCTCACCCTCCCTTCCTCCGGGTCTCCTGAGCCACAGTGATCAGCAGCACTGCTCTGCCAACGCACACCCCGGCACCGCTGCTCTCTTCCGGATGCTCTCCGGACCCACACAGTTTGGAATTTCTCTAAATGCAGCTTACATATAAAAACTGTCACATCTCTTACTCTATTGTAAAATTTTAAACTGGGGAAAAAAATTTTGTGCCCAAATTGAATGTTTTTTTAATAAAATACTCTTCTTCCAACAGAGTTCAAAATGCAGGTTAATTTTATGATACAGGTAACAAGTGATCTCTCTCTTCTCTGGGCTTCTAATCAGTTCCACGATCAGAGTTTTGATTAAAGCTCTTCCCTGCCATGAAAAAAAAAACCACAAAAACACAATTAATTGAAAAAGCAAGAATGTGCATAGAAATGAATTTTTCTGTAACACATTGCCAAGCTCTGTTCCTAAAATCACCAATACTTTGTATTTTCTTTCTTTGCAGGAAAATTATCCTGTACTTTGCTGTGTTGTTGTTTTTTTTTAAATCTTCTCCACAAAGACCATGTAATGCTTTTACTAAATCCTAAATCAAGTCCATTAACATTTTCTTGGACTACTGGTAGGTAAAAATGCTGAGATTAAGTGAAACTGAAAATGTTGTATGGGCTATGTACCTCATATTTTTTCAATGTCATCTTCTCTATGAACATACCTCTTATGATAGAAGTGTCTGTGTGAACTTCCTTTTGTTTCACTATGACCTTTTTTAAATCTTCCGTTACATGGATTTTTATATGTTAATGCCAGACAGTTTACCAGCAGAAATTTAAACAATGTAGTCAGTCTGTCTCCCCTTAATTAGGCTCTCCTGAATCCCTTCTTCCAGTGTCTTAGCCTAGATAAGACGCATTTTTAATTCAGGAAACACATTCAGGCAGGTGGCTGTAGGGGGCTTATGAGAAGTCTTAGGGAAGACAAAAATGTTAGTCATGTTCTTTCTGTTAGATTCCACTGGAATGGAGCCATAGGTCATCTGCTGGCTGGAGATGCCAGGATGCGTGGGTATCTTAGCTTAAAAGGCAGATCCTGGTAATATTGTTCTAACAGGGTTCAGCAAGGTTGGCAGCACCTTCCAGGGGTCAAGGCAGGTGCTCAGAGATTTTTAAAGGAATTCTCCATCATGCACATGCAATTAGAAAAGTATCTTCCTCAATTTCCTTAAGTGTCAATCTGTCCCTTCCTATCAGAGGGGAATCATGAGTGAGGGGCTGCCTATCAGAGAAAAGGAATTTGGAGCAAAGGGACAGAGGCCCCAGTCAGGACATGAGTGTCATCCTGACCCTTTGTGGATTTCTTCTACAAACTTGCATGAATTGCTCTGGGTTTTCTCTTTTCAAAGCCACGTGAAGACACCTGGCCTGGGGAAACCCATCCATGAGGAAGCATCTTTGTGAGGGCAGCATTAGGAGCAAAAATAAAAGCCAAATTATAATTTCACCCACTACACTCAGTTAATGTCCATAATGGTCTCTTTATGATTTATTTTAGTAACCTAAGTCTGGTTATGGATCCTGGGGAACAGAAGGAAAAAAACTACAGATACTTGCCCAAAACACATGCTGAGAAAAGCAAATGGAAAGATAGAATGAAATGTAAGATAAACTTGGTAGAGGCAAGAGATACACTTTAATGAGGTTTGTATAATTGAAAGCATAGTGAAAAGTATCTACAGAGATACTTAAGTGTAAGGATTTATGGCTTCTCACATGCTTTTCAGAGAAACTGTCTATGAAAAGTATTTTAGAGCATTAACCCTTGGGTGATATCTATGGTAATAAGAGAGAAAATATGACAGCCCAGGAAGCTCTAGGCCAGAACACATAGTGTCTGTTTTAGTTTTCTCTGCCATTTGCTGTCACTATGATCGTGAGTAAGTCCCTTCAGCTCTCCAAGGCTTCTTTCCCTCGTTTATAAAACTTAAATAAAGAAACATTCAACCTACAAAGCCATCGTGAGAAATAAATGGGGTCGTCTGTGTGGGAATGTTTAACTCTAAAGAACTCAACAAACATTGGTTATCGCATGAACAGGAACTACGTGTTCCCGCTGGAGGCGCTACTCTAAGGCTCACGGTTAACAGCCTGAGCAGGGGCGCTGTTGTGAATGCTTACATTTGATGTTCTCGCACAAAAGCTGCAAACTCAGGATCATTGGCATACAGTTCCAAAATTCTCATTCTTTCTTGAATTTCCTTTTTGAAAAGAAAAATAGGCCATACATCACATTAGAAAAGCTTAAATCATCTTTTAAAAGGAGTCCTAATTTTTATAAGGAAATGTGGCTGTCTGGGCTATCCAGGGGAGAACTATAGGAAAGAATGGCCTTTTCAGAGAATGAAAGGTTTGGATAATACACGAACTGCTCAGAATAACTCCGGCATATTTCTAAGGAAGTGGGGAGGAGGGAGAGAGCAATTGTTAACAATGGAGAAAGAAACCACTGAGTGGAGAAGAAGGTACAGCTCAGATTCATATACCCTCTGCATACTACATCAACTGGGGGATATCATGAAGCAGAAACTAATCAGGAAATACTTCTCATCTTTTCTTGTTCCTCATGCACACACACACACACACACACACACACATACACACATCCGAAACAGCAGAGCAACAACAGAAAAACAGTTTCCTACCTCTCTGGAAAGCCCACTGTTCTCATATATTTGTCTGATTTCTTCCCTGCTCAGACCACCAATCACCTCTCCTCGTGCTGCGCTGTGGAAGGGACCCTGAGGATAGGGTCCCCTGTACTGTTCCATTCCTGCCCCATGCCTTTCATACATAGGGTTGTACTTTACGGCATCTTCAATGGATGAAAGGCTGGCAGGCTGTCTGCTGGAGCCACAAAAACAAAAGTAGGATTCATTCAGATTCAGATGTATAACCACTTAGAAGGTTATTTACCTGTAGTAAGATTTCTCTTGGGGAAGAAAAGGAGGTGAACTGATACAAATCAGGAGAGGTGACTGTGAAAAATACCCAGATCAATCTCAGAAATTATTTATCACGTGTTGTCATTATTATCTCCTCAACTACATGGCAAGTGCCCCAGGGAATTGTTCCATGTCTCATTCATCTTTACTTGCCCCACAGGGCCTGACACTCAATAAATGCTGATGGGGAACCAAGCCTGCCAATAGATAGTATTTCATGGAATGCATACAGTGCCATCATTCCCAGAATAGACAAATAAAAAATCAATGTGTAGCACACAGAAAATCTGATAAAAATATAAATATGGGAGTAATTGGGCCTCAGGTTCAATTCAGGTCTACAAATATTTACTGAGCATTGATTATGTGCCTAAGACAGTTCTAGATAGTTGTGGGAGACTGATATAGGGTTAAGCCTCGGACTGACTTGCTGGCAAAGTCACAAACAAGCCCTAGGTTAGAGGGCACAGTCCTCTTAGCATAATTAGGCTTGACCTTATAACACTCCCTAGATCTTATCTGAGAATCTAATGGGCTGAGGAAGTGCAGGAAGTATAACCATGGTGTAAACAAGTGAAACTCACAAGAACTGTGTAACTATGGTAACCACTACCTTGTTTACCGCTCACTATAAAAGCTTGGTGAGGCCTGAGCACAGTGGAAGTCCTTCCTCTTGAGTTGGACTTGCCGCCTGGTCCCCCAATATTCCCAGATTAACTAGTGTCTTTTCTATTTCATTTGTGTGCGGCTCCTCTTCCAGACCCGAACCCTGAACCACGCAGGACGTGGAGGGAAACACTTACGACAGATAGTAATGATAAAGAATTGATTGGAATGAGATTACAGTCTAATGAAAAGTCAGACTCAATAAAAAGCATAAGAACAGTGATGGAAGTATGTCCTGGGGGCTCTAAGAACCAAGGAGAGGTGCCTCCTTAGCAAGCTGAGGGTGAGAGAAGGTAGCCTAGACCTAAACCAGTAATTCTTTAGACTATGGAAGCACAAAAGCAAAGTACAACCATTGATTATAATCACACTAGAGGCCCAGTGCACGAAATTCATGCATGAGTAGGGTCCCTAGTGGCTGCTGGCTGCCAGCTGGGGCCTCCCTTCCTCCGGCCACCTGCCGCCAACCAGGGGGAGCAGCCACAGGCGGTTGGCTGGCCAGCCCCAACCCCTGATCAAACTCCCAGTCAAACTCCAGGCTGAGGGGACAATTTGCATATTAGACTTTTATTATATAGGACAGTGATGGCAAACCTATGACATGCGTGTCAGAGGTGACACGCGAACTCATTTTTTTGGTTGATTTTTCTTTGTTAAATGGCATTTAAATATATAAAATAAATATCAAAAATATAAATCTTTGTTTTACTATGATTGCAAATATCAAAAAATTTCTGTATGTGACACAGCACCAGAGTTAAGTTAGGGTTTCTCAAAATGCTGGCACCCCGAGCTCAAAAGGTTCGCCATCACTGGTATAGGATAACAACCCAAAGGGTCTTTGGATTGCTAGTCTAATAAGTAAAACAGATTATATTTTCTCCATTAATGAAGCTACATTTTACTAAAAGAAAATCAAATGTCATTTCTTGTCAGATTCTTATCTAGATTCAGAACCATAATGAGCCAAAAGTAACAAACTAACTGATCTGGTCTTCATACAAGGATCTCACCTTATCTCCATCACCCTTCCAACCTCTCCCCAACCACGAAACACGCATTGGGCCATGCTCAATGAGGCCATTCCTTCAGTGTTCCTTGAGATTCACTCATGCCTTCCTAACTTTGCTCATGCTCATTCAAGTAGCTAGAAAGTGCCCCACCCACCCACCATGGATAGCTACTCTTCTGTCCAGCTAAATATCACAACCACTTTTCAACTTCTAAGACTCTCTCCCCCAGGCAAAACTAACTCATGTCTCATCCAGGTCCCTTTGCATCTTACTCATACTGCAGCTTCTGTTTATTTCCAATTTGACACCCTTGGAGGACAGAGCCCATGTTTTCATTCAACTTTATAGCTTTCTCTCTTGCACCCCAGATCCTTATTCGATATTTGGCACATAGTCAGTACTAAATGAATGAATAAGCGGGACATTTTCTTCACCCAAGAGCAGTTTTATTTACCTAAAGGGCCTCTCTCTTTCTCTCCGAGCATTCTGAGCTTGAAGAGTCTTGATAAGGAAGATGACAACAGCAGAAGAGACGAGGAGAAGTCCAACCACGGCGGCGATGGTGATGCCTATCACCAAGGGCTCAGACACAAACTCCTCACAGTGCTCCCCTCGGTACCACCAGTTCTCACCCACTCGACACCTGTAATGAGAAGTGACCAAGTGTCAAAGTGGAATCACTTTGCTGAAAGTAATAATGAACAGCAGAAGCTTCAGTGGGACCTGGGAAAGGTAAAGCAATAAATACTGGCCACAGGAAGCTTCAGTAAAGAGGTAAATATGCAGGTTCAATGATCATACGTTTTAAGTCCCTCCCAACCCCAAGGCCACAGACCTGTGGAAAATGTCTTCAAATCCCACAGCAGCAAGGAAATCACTGCTTTTCCATAATACTAATTTCTCTGGATATCAAGGGACTACTTTTCCCCTTAGTTTCCTAGCTAAACATTACACTTTTCCACATAGAAAAATCTGAATCATTTCTACCTAGTTCCTCTGTTTGTGGCATTATGCCAACATTTGGCCATTTTCACATCCACAAATTGTCCTCTCATTTGTTCTCAGCACTCGCTCCTTTTACACCATGTGACTATGATGTGTGGTGGGAGGTTGATTTGCTCTGCTTTGTTTTAGGGGAATGGGCAGGAAAAGACAGTAAGGGTGCCTGAAAGTTAGAACCATGAAAATTCTACCTTTAAAAAATGGATCTCAGCCCTACCCGGTTTGGCTCAGTGGATAGAGCATCAGCCTGTGGACTGAAAGGTCCCAGGTTCGATTCTGATCAAGGGCATGTACCTTGGTTGTGGGCACATCCCCAGTATGAGGCGTGCAGAAGGCAGCTGACCGATGTTTTTAACTCTCTATCCCTCTCCCTTCCTCTCTGTAAAAAATCAATAAAATATATAAAAAATAAAAATAAATAAAATAAAAAAATGGATCTCAGGTACTTAAATAAAATATATTTGTCATGACTTCAAAGACTTCAACTATTTGCTTTTTTCTCTGAATACTTGGTAGGATCAAGAGCAGTCCAAAGCCATTCAAAACATAATCCAAATAGAATAAAACTCCTTTGTTTTCACTTTCAGGTGCAGTATTAAGTGTTGCTCTTATGCTGAAACCTAAGCACCAATTGCCTTACCATCCCTCTAAGAACCACAACACAGACCCCAACTACTACCAGGACTCTCAGTGGGACACTACACAATGTCTTTCTCACAGCCTAAGAGCATAAAATAAAATAACCATTTGACCTATAATTCAGGCCTTTTAACTGACTCAGTCTTCACATGAACACTAAATGGTGCCAATCTATTGTTTAGATATAACTTCTACAACAAATATTGCTGAGATTATCCTAAAATCATAGGTGTAGACCCTTTTTCTTCAGAGGAAGTATCTACAAACTCATGAAGTCAAAATTTCTAGCTACGCCATACCTACAAATGGCCCCATGTCCGGGCATAATGTCACACTTCCCATCATTGAAGCAGAAGTCAGGCTGAAAGTCACAGAGACTCTGACAAGGCAGTTCCTCCACACTCAGGTATCCAGGGTGGCATCTGCACTCCGCTTCTCCACTCCAGGGATTGACCAAGCACTCGGAAAACTCATTGCATGCCTGAAACTTGCAAGGGTTGGCTTCATCCCCTAAAACATCAAACAAACCAGAAAAAAAATACTAGAAAGGGCAAAACACAGGAGTTGGAGTACATGAATCTCCTCCACTAAGTCTCACTGTCCAAAGTACCATGGGGACGACCCCTTTCCTGAAGCATTAAACTACACCATCACCACCAAAACCACAAAAAATTTCAGATTCATCCTAAGAATCTTTCCTAAACCCTTCAGAGGGATCATGGCCCAGAAACACCTTAGTTTTAGATTTCTATATTTCAAAACTATGAGAGAATAAATCTCTGTTTTTGTAAGCCATCCTGTTTGTGTTCTTTTGTTACAGCAGCCCTAGGAAACTCATACAGGGGACCACTGATGAGATGCTCATATAACAAGGAAAGCATACAACAGTGCTGTTAGATGGGCAGTTTCTACAAGGGGCCCATGCAGCAGGGTTCCATTGTAAATATAACAAAGAAAGCATACAACAGTGCTGTTAGATGGGCAGTTTCTACAAGGGGCCCATGCAGCAGGGTTCCATTGTATATTTCCTGTCCTCACAGTCTTATTCTAGTATACATATTGTGACTTTGTTCCCAGAAAACAATATAATCCTGGCCTAGCAGTGTGTTTAGAGAAGAGGAAGGATAATATTGCATGGCTTCCTATGTTGATGGAAGTTCAAGAGTTTTTGTGCAAAGAAGTTAAACAAGAAACACATCAATCTTATCTCTAGCCAATCTTGAGATAAAATAATATTTTAATCTGAAGACCTTTAACTAAAAATATACAGGTAGTAGGGAAATTCTATTTTAAAATTCTAAAATACTGTGATCATTCCATGGGTATATGTGTGAATGTCTGGTGGAAGGGAAATAGGAAGAGGGAAAAAATAAAAGTTGCTTCCTTTTGCCCTAGGCCAAGAAGAAAGACTAAGACTAATATTTTAATCATGTAAATAAAAGACTGTAGCTTTCCAGTCTGTTTCCAGCCCTCTGTGTAGGTTAAAGGTGGATGCCCAGAAAACACGGCCCTCTGTTTAAGAGCACCTTAATGACTTTAGGAGAAAACAAAGATAGACCTGGAGCTTAATTTGGGATAAGAGACAAGGATCTAAATTATAAAATGAATTATGTCTAGTTTACCAGGGACAGGCTAAGAGAGGAATTGATGGGTCTAGAAAAATGATAATGAAGAAAATATGGAAAAGGTGTAGAAAGACAGCCAGAATAGCATGGTAGCTGGCTTGGTCCAAAAAGTTGGCCAATAAGAAATGACTTTGAAAGGGTTGCTGAGGAAGTTTAGGATATTTATGCCCAACAATATTTTAAACCGCCTGTGGTGGTATGATAAAGCCTTCTCTGTCACCCTCATAGCAAAGGAAATATCTGAGAGAATCAACTACCTTGTAGAGGTGCCTTGGAAAAGTCAAAAATGGGACTGTGATCTGTATTGGGTTTTCATAAGGAACAACCACAAGGATTGGGAATTCAGCAGAAGGAACTCAGAGCTGGAGGTGATTGACAGCTATTTCATCCCTGTTCATTCCTGGAGATATTGGGGGTGGGAGGGACCTGGATGCAGGTTTTACACTACACTTGGGAGGGGCTAATGCCAGTTCATTTGAATATTAAAGAAAAAGGTGACCCTATAAACCTGAATGACTCAGCATGCAGCTCACATGTGAGTTACATAAAATATTGATGTAAATGCACTTATTTATTGTCCTTCCCTTTTTTAAAAAAGTGGGTTGACTTTTGCAAAAAGTTTTATGAATCATATCTGCTTGCATGCATTTGTATGGCTAGTCAAATGCAAATATATGTTATTATTTTAATACTTAGACTATCCCCATAAAATACATAGGCCAGGTAATATTATCCCCATTTTAAATTTTTTTTAAGTTTTTGATTAGAGCTGACATACAATATTATATTAGTTTCCTGTGTATAACATAGTGATTAGACATTTATATAACTTATTAAGTAATCACCCCAAACATTACCCCCATTTAATATATGCGGAACTAAAGCTCAGAGATAATATAGATCATCTAGGGTCTCACAAATGATAAATGGCAGAGCAGAGGCAAAAAATCAGGCCTTCCAGCCCTGGCTAGTTTTCTCAGTGGAACATTGGCCCACGCACCAAAGGGTCGCAGGTTCAATTCCTGGTCAAGGGCATGTTACAGGTCAATTACAGCCCCAGTCGAGGAGGCAGCCAGTTGATGTGTCTCTCTCACATCGATGTTTTCTCCCCCTCTCTTTGTCTCTCTCTCTCTCTCTCTCTCTCTTTCTCTCTCTCTCTCTCTCTCTCTCAAAAATATTCTCAGGTGAGGATTTAAAAACAAAAGAACAAATAAAGAAATCAGGCCTTCCAAATTATAATTACTTGCTTTTTCCACTACACCACATGGCAAAAAATGCGCAACTGGCCTTAGAGAACTCAAATGGCAAGAGATTTAAATATTGGAGGATTGGCCAAATCATTTTCCTCACTTTCAGTGAATAAGGATTTCAAAGGAAAGAAGGTGACTTTCTCAGTTAAAAAATAGAGTTCACTTTCAAACCAGTTTGAGAGTAAAAGTCACTGGAGAAATACGAACTCAGGTATTCCCCCTGACTCCTACCTAAAACCACTGTCCTCTGGTGGGTGGAAGATGAAAAAGAACAAAGTCTGAGGATTCAACAGTATTCACTGCATCCAAATCTTCCAAATAAAAGCAATGGTTCATTTCATTCGTTCGCAGTATTTTTTAGTACCTTTTATATGCAAGACACTATGGTTAATAAAACAGATAAAATATCATTCCTTGTGGATAGCTCAACTGAGGATAATGCCCATTAAGCAACTATGTGCATAAATTAGCATTATTACAATAGTTATAAGCTCTATAGCAGGAAAAGAACATGATGTTACAAGAAAAACTAACAGGAGAGACCCAATCTAGAATATGGGTGAGTCAGTGAAAGTCTTGAGGAAGAGACATTTGAACTGAAGCATAAAGGGTGAGCAGAAGTCAGCCAAGAGGGAAAAGAGTTCCAAGCAAAGGAGACAGTATGTGCAAAGGCTTTAAGGCAAGAAAAGTTGTTTGAATTTGAGGAACTAAAATCCAGCAAGTTTGACTTGGTAAGCAAAGAGGTTAGTTTCATTGGATGATATCGGGGAAGAAGGTAGGGTCCAGGCCTTATAGCTACTGAACCAGGCAGTCATTGAAGTAAAGTAATCTGATTGATGTTTTTAGAAAGAGCACCCTGGCTGCTATCTGAAAAATGGAGAAGGGAAGGAAACAAGAGAGGTAGTGGGGAAACTAGTTCAAATGAGAGGTGGCAATGGTGGTAATAGAAACTGAGGTATCAGAATGACTTCCCAGGTTTCTGGCCTAAGTAGCTGAGTGGACACAGCTTCCATTTATCAGGATGGTGAAGCTGAGTGGAATGGATATAGCTGAAATGCGGAGAGACACAGAAAACAAGATCTCACTCTTACACTTCTTAAATTTGATATACATAGAATACATCCAACTTAAGATCAACAAGTACATAGTTAGATACTGATTCTGGAGCTCAGAAGACAAGTCTAATCTGTATATAAATTTTATCTCTATTAGACTTATAATAATGGAAATGGATAAAACAACTTGGGAAAATTATATAGAAGGAAGGAATCTAAAGGCCAGATTCCACAAATCTACCTGCTTGGCAAATAGAGATGTAGCAAAACAGATCCAGTGGAAAGGTAAAAAAGAGAGCCAGATAGAGTAGAAAAGGAAACAGGAGGTAAATAAGTAAAAATAACATATGTGGACCACCCTTTTGAAAAGAGAATGATACTGATGTCCTTGGAAGAGATATACTAATTATCAAGATGGGAAAATTTG